CGCGGTCACTGGAGCACGGGGCAGCAGCGAGCACCGGCCGCCGCCCGCACCCGCCGCCGGGCCCTGGGTCGCATCCTGAACTGCTGGGTACCACTCGCATCCCCGGCTACCACCCGCATCCCCGGGTACCACCCTGCATCCTTGGGCAGCATCCTGCATCCTTGGGTACCGCCCTGCACCGCTCGGTCGCATCCTGCATCCTTAGGCGCTGCCCGATCCCTAAGGAGCATTCTGCATCTCTGGGTCGCATCCTGCCTCCTTGGGTGCTGCCTGACCCCTAGGGAGCATCCCACATCTCTGGGTCACATCCTGCATCCTTGGGTACCACCCGCATCCCTGGGCAGCATCCTGCATCCCTGGGTCGCATCCTGCACCGCTGGGTACCACCTGCTTCCCTAGGTACCATCCACATCCCTGGGTCGTATCCTGCATCCTTGGGTACCACCCTGCATCCGTGGGTGCTGCCTGACCCCTAGGTAGCATCCCGCATCCCCGGGTGCCACCCCACACCCCTGGGTACCACGCGGCCCCTGGGCAGCATCCTGCACTCCCAGGTGGCACCCCACACCCTTGGGTAGCCCCCAGCACCCCTGGGCACTACCTGCATCCCCGGGTACCACCTGCATCCCAGGGGCGCTCCCAGCATCCCTGGGCAGCACCCCACACCTTTGGGTAGCACCCACCTCTTGAGACCCCCCCCTCAGTCCTCCCACCCTTGGGTAGCCCCCAGCACCCCTGGGCACTACCTGCATCCCCGGGTACCACCTGCATCCCAGGGGCGCTCCCAGCATCCCTGGGCAGCACCCCACACCTTTGGGTAGCACCCACCTCTTGAGACCCCCCCCTCAGTCCTCCGGGACCCCCCGGCACCCTCCAGCATGGTGGAGCCCAGCACCGAGTGCAGCATCAAGGTGCTGTGCCGGTTCCGGCCGCTGAACCAGGCCGAGATCCTGCGGGGGGACAAGTTCCTGCCCGTCTTCCAGGGTGACGACAGCGTCGTGGTGGGGGTGAGTGTGAGGAGGGGGACAGTGACCCCAGATCCCCCCAGTGGGGCAGAGGGGGACCCGGCCCACCCAGCTGTGGTGGGATTGGGGGGGGAATAGGCAGCCGGGGGGGTACTTGGAGGGGCAATAGGCAGCT